GTTCACAATAAAGACGTTCTTGACATTTTGATTGGATAAATTATAAACGTTCGAGTGTTGTGTTTTTATGTCAGCAGACATAACTAGATAAGTTTCTTTCTTATTATCTAAAAGTTTTTTGTCTGGTTTAAAAATGTATAAGACAAGTTAATTCAGGAATATGTCTAATATTTGTCGACCTGTCTCCATTGTTCACTTGTATAAAATCATACGGTAGCATTCATTAAACAATTTTATACATATTCATTTTCATATGACGCAATGAACAATAAATCACTGCGATTTTTAGCAAACTTTCTGTATTTATTGAAGCTGATTTACATAAGAATGAATATGCATATTTCAACGAGATTATTTTATGAAAACATTAATATCATGTTTACGATGCACTTTTTGCACGATCTATATGATTGGTAAAATGATGTAATGTCCAAACACGCTAATAGTTGTATAGCATCACAATATTTCTATAAAAATCCAGACGCTTCCTTTGTCATAAGATATATATCAGGTTTCTTTATTCTGTAAATAATTAATCAGTCTAAGCTACGAGAGGTTCTTTTATTCAGTAGACAGTCATGTTGTTACCTTGCTAACGATTTAGTCGTAGAAATATTTAAATATCTACATCGTAACATCGTATCAGCAAAGCAAGATATATGAAAGGTCTATAAAGAAATAAAAGTGATGAAAATATGACAACAAGTAATTAGTTGTTTTATATAAAAAATCAATATTATTAGCAGAAAGATTCTCTATATAACTGCCATGTTTCAATACAAAATCATAAAGTACTGTATATGTCTGAATAATATATTGACAAACATATTAGAAAGTACTTTTTCTTGTTGTTATAAATTAAATCATCAGAGGTTTAGTGTAAGTATGCATCCTATTATCTTATATTTCTATATTTCATGTATTGGTGCCCTCTTTATATAATATATATCCGGATTGTTGTTTGAACATAAAAAAAGTAAGTAAGTACATGATAACGCTAATTCACTTATTAATCGTCTGGGTGATCATAAGTGTTGAAACAATTCAATTTTAAATATTAGAATTGCGCATTGTTGCATTTATTGAACTTGTTAAAAAACCTCGGAACTGTTTTATTTTGTATGAAAATTCAGGTCCTTGCATTTACATTTTCAGTATGAATTTAAAACGTATATAAACATGCAAGTAATAGCTGTTTGATAGATAGGTCTGGAAACATGCTAGACATTACTGTTTGACAGATAGGTTTTGAGTTATTTCAAGGTTATTGGTTAAAGAATATGTAAAAAAACCACACTACTGTAGCCTTATTGTGAAAACAAATTAAAATATAGTAGATTTCATAAATTTTGCCTTGAGCGTGTTTCATACATATTTTTATGTTTGAGTGCAATTCTTACAACTGAGGTACGTATTCGGACCTGTGACTCAGAGGTATAGAGCGTTGTCTGTTGTTGGCGGAATGTCGCAAGTCCGAATCCCATCTACGACGGGCGATTATTCATGATACATTTGCATTTTTACGAAATCAAAATGTTAGTAAGAGTATATTGTCATCTATTATGAAATCCGAAAACTACTGAAACATATCTCCTTATGCAATAACTGTATTTGCCTTGATTTAATTTTGAACATAAATCAAGTGTGCAAATTAAGTGGCGTTTGTTACTTTCAAATTTCTTAAAAAATTATTAATTACATTGTTAAAATGAATTGGTTAACAACAGTTGATATTTGTGATATAAATAATACATATTTCGGTCATCACAATTTATTAGTACTCAATAATTGCAATGCATTACTTAATAAATTCAAAATAATAATAATCTAAACCAGAATCGTTCTTACTTGTTTTAAATACGAGTATTTGTATTAATATGTTTTTCAGTTTCTTAAAAAATCATTTAACCTCCGCCTATATGACTGAAAGACTGTTGGGAAATGGCGTAAAATGAAACAAACAAACAAATTTAACCTTGTGTCCAGATATATCTCGATATTTTTTTTATATTTTTATAAAACTATTTTATAGCTCATTTCATTGTGGCATTGCTACATTGTGCCAGTAGTTACCAGTATGAATAATGTATATTCATAAACATAAAACACCATCACAAATACACTTCCTTCACTTCATTGTATAAATTAAATATTTTTTATTCTTTAACATTTCTTTACGACACTCTGTCATAGCTTATCATTTCTATTATCTGTCTTTGTATAAAGTTGATAAGCAGATAAAGAAGTCGACAATGAAAAATTAGAGAAAATTGATCGTGAATATTACAATACCTTTATCCGCATTTACTCTCCTATTGGAGATTTAACATCATCTTCTCTGTAAAGTATTTGAGAGATACAACGACAAAACCTCTATAATAATGTCTATCTATTCACAGTGTTCTATATTGTTATAAGTGAAGGATTGTTTGGATTAGCATGTCAAAGCACGTTTGTATAATTACAGTGTAGACATTTATTAAGAAAATTTGTGTTATATATACTTGTAAGGGATAAAGTTAAATACAGGAAAGGTAATTGATTATGTAATATATACTTAAAATTGATTATGGTATAGTTCTTTTCAGACAGAAGGGATTATTTTACTTCATTCTTACTTGGAATTTATTCCTTTAAATGATGCTTTTTAAAAGAACATCAATACATTTGCACCGCTGGAAAGGAAATGCAAACGTTTGGTTTAAGAAAAGAAAAAACATATAGTACGAAGCTTTAGTAAAGTATTAATCTAATTATGTCATTATCCTGAATCAAGAGGTTTTTGTATTCATTTAACTGACTGATAATGCCTAAAGTTGGTTAGGTCATTTCTTCTATATGTTTTAAATTTAGATAGAAGTATGCAAAATATGCGTTATTAAACCCATTACGTTCAATACTTTTTGTTTAAAGTGTTCAAATAGATGGCCATATAATTACTTTATCACAAACTTAATATTAAATCTCTATATGTATTATATTTTTAAAAATAATATTGCCAGGTTCAGTTAAAATTGAGCATAATGTGTCTATTTCTTCCAGACAATGTTGTTTTTCCATATGTTTGATGAAAATGATTTTCACGTTTTGCTTTATGTTATAATTTTTACACCATTATTAAAACACATCCTAAATGTCTATATATTATGATATCGTTTTGTCGAAATAATTCTGACCGTAATTAAAACATCATGTAGATCAAACACAATAATAACTGGTCAAATGTAACATTCATTAAAACTGCGCAAATGTAATCAAATTTGTCAGGAGCCCGTCTTTTAATAGCTTATATCTATCATTTCAACAAAACTTCATGTTGCATATTGATGCTTAATTAGTTTGTGAGTTTACAATTCCTTTTATCGCAGACTCGATGTCAAAATAAGATTTTTGTCGTAAAAAATGGAGCAAACTAAATAAAAGAACAAATGAGTATGCAGTATTTTACGGCGATTCGACACAAGGCAATAAATCTTAGAATTACAAAATTTAATAATTTGATTAACAAGTTAGTTTCCTTCCTCCTACAATGATACATAAATGTATTTGATTTTCTTAGTTCATACAAAGCTATTGAAAGCCTAATATTGGTATTGATATGATATTTACAAAGCAATGGGTTGCTGTTAAACATAAAAATATTGATTTTTTAAGCAAATTCAATCCTATATATTGAGGTTAACAAACAATGTGCGTGCATTTGGATAAAGTAACGCCTGATGGATACGTGATTTTAATATATATTTTTTCACTGTGGGTAAACACATCTATTGAAGCTCTTAAGAAGTAATACAAGTTGAAACGGATAAGCTTTACTGTGCACTGATCGGGAATAAAATGTGTTTATGTTCGCAATTAACAATTTATATTGAACTAAATACACTTGAAGTAAACTATATAGTGGTTGTATGTTTATGTTTATATTGACACAGATATCTATTGAAATATAAAACAATACATTTCATTAGCATCTTTCAATTATATAATTAAGACGTGCAAACAACATTTAATAATAGGAAAAATTTACAAACATTAAATGTTTAAATCTTAAATTGAGTTTGGTTGCCGTAACTGAGATACAAAAAAACTAAATGTGCTGAAACAAAGTAAAAGTTAAATCTGCAATGACTCATCATATGACATTCTTATGTGATTAAACAAGTAAAAGGAAAGGACCGGCAGTTATGCTTGGTTAGTGAACTTCAAGTCAATTTAAGTACAGTAATAGTCTGTACACAATTATTCTATCATTTTCAAAATAACCATCAATTTACAGAATTGCTTTAAAGTTTGTGACATACATTTTATCGGTACTGGATCAATATTTTTTGTTTCGGTACTTTGTGAAACTGTTTGGTAAAATACATTCGAGATTCAGACAGAATTCTAACAGTCAGGAATATGAAGTAACCTCCACGACAATACCAACAATATTATTATATAGCTATATGCGTCGTGATATCAAATGTGAATTCTGTGATAAATTCACCACAGACAGGCAATAGCTTCATTAGTGATATAAAATACTCTGAAGTCTTGATTAGACCAGTTTTATTTTATTTTCATTCATTTGTTTTACTTTTTGTATATACCTGTTATGAAAATACATCAAATCACAAAAAAAATTTAACAAATCAGGTGCAAGAAAATAATCTTATGGTATTTTCTTTCGTTCTTCTTATTTTCATTTATTTACTTTTTTTTTCGTTTGTTTTTCTTTAATTTATTTTTCTTTTAAATCTGCAATTGCTGATGTAGAAGTAGCGGATAAATAAAACTAGTAAAATAGTTCCAGTTTTAATTAATGTCATTATCAAACGAAAATGAACTTAAGTAGGAATATTATGTTTTATTGATTATATATATTCATATTCTATAATTCATTTCCTCATTTTCATATTTATATTGCTTTCATATATTGTATTCTATACGATAACACATTGAATTAATGAAATATTATCACGTGTTGATTTTAATTTTATTTCTGTGTTTCAGGCTATCATCTTCGAGAGAAACAAACGTGTTTGCGTCATGAAATTGATGAAGATGTCAGATTGCATTTTCATTCAACTGATTTGAAACAGAAAACGTGTGAAGTGCAAGTCTAACAGTGCAAACACATCCGAAAATACTTCTCTTACTTCTCTATTAATTCACTCCACGACTATGATGTGTCGATAATGGCATAGAGTTGCATCGATTGCTTGAGTAAAGGCGTCATTGATGTTGAAACGTAATTTTCGCTTCTGTATAAAAATGATTCCCCTACAAAAAACTGTGTGAAGTGAGTCCTTCAGTCTTGATGAATAAGGCAAACAGAAATCTGTAAATGAGTTGGGAAGATTTTCGGGAGATTTGTCTGGGATACGGTACATCTGTACGATTGATGTATAAGTAAATGACACGAGGAGACTTTTCTTATACATCAATAGACATTTTTCATTTTCATTCTTTAGATAACAGATTTTAATATTTAGGCTAGTGAACGATATATATTGACAATACGACAGTAATCGATTGTGTAAGTGACTATGTATTCAAAATTATTTGCAAAGCGGTTAAAATGAGTATTAGGTATGGCATTTATAAAGGTAAAACATTATAAAATCATGACTTAAATATAAAACAGATAAAAAGGACACTTGACAAAATTACATTAAATATTCATCATTATTGATCGCAGCAAAATGGCGCACGCACTTCAATTATTCACATCCCTACTTTTTAGTTTATTAATTTTAGTTAGTTCAGCATCATTTTATACAACAGAAGATGAGCGTCTATCTGAAATGCTGCCGAGAATATCATAAATGGGATGTTTCATCTGGAAGTAGCTTGTTTTATAAAATGGCAGACACGCCGAGTCTACTACTGTTTAGAAGATCAAATGATGTTGATGACATAATTAATGGCACAACCACTTTAGTGACATTTACGGATATGAACAGTACCAGTGAGTTAAATGAAGGATATATTCCAAAAGGATATAGTGTACCACACATTATTCTGACATCTATACTATTATCAATTATCATGCTTGTGATTGTGTTCGGTAATTTGCTAGTTGTCATTGCCATTTTCACTGATAAAACACTTAAAACAACACAAAACTGGTTTATAGCTTCACTAGCTGTAGCTGATTTTCTGTTAGGATTAGTGATAATGCCTTTTTCTCTAGCTAATGAAATGATGGGATATTGGATATTTGGCAAGGTCTGGTGTGATCTCTGGAAGGCGATTGACGTTTTGCTATGTACAGCTTCAATTCTCAGCATTTGCCTAATAAGCCTTGATAGGTATTGGTCAATAACAAGGGCTATAACATATCCTCGGAGCAGAACACCAAAGAAAGCAGCCTTAATGATCACCGCGGTTTGGTTTCTGTCAGCAGTTATTTGCGTGCCTCCGTTAATTGGATGGAAGAATCCGTTACCTGTAACTGAATATCCCCTGTGCCTTCTCAGTGATGATATCGGCTATGTACTTTATTCTACTATGGGATCGTTTTATGTTCCATGCGTGATAATGGTTTTTGTATACTTCAAAATATTTCGTGCAGCTAGACGCCTTGCAAGAAAGAATATACGAAAGAATAAAAGGAAACAGATGTCGCATGATATAAAAGATGAGATAAACACGCATTTTAATTCACATGATACGGAAAGTGTTGCTCGGACTACTCCAGAAAGTGATAGAAAACGGGTAATGAAAAAACCATCACTAGAAAGTCTCAAAGAGAAAGAATCTTACATATCTACAGCTGGTCAAAACAATATTGTTCGATCACCTAATGAATGTGATAATTCAATAAAAGAACACGAAAACAAAAAAATTAATGTAGACCAAAGTGTTGAACTTAAACATGAAAGCAAGCAGCTTGATTCAACAAGTTCAGAATTGACAAGAAATGATAGTTCCATTTCAACAAAATCTGACTGTCAAACAACTAAAAATAACGAACCAAGAAGAATAAGCATGCAAAAGATAAGTGAGAAGTTTTCGAAAAAAAGACATCGTACAAATGGAAATAAGAGCTCAAAGGGTTGGCGGGCGGCATCTGTACGTGATCACGAACGCCATAAACGAAAAATAGCGAAAGCACGTGAAAGACGTGCAACAATTGTTTTGGGTCTTGTAATGGCTGCGTTTATTTTATGTTGGTGCCCATTTTTTACATTGTATATAATAACATCTTTTTGTTACTGTGTTGGGTCAATCGTATTTACTGTTGCATTTTTCGCAGGCTACTGTAACTCAGCACTAAACCCAATAATATACACGGTGTTTAATCGTGAATTTAGACATGCCTTTCACCGTATCATCTGTAAAAACAGCTTACGCTGTCGGTGAAATATGAATTGTTAGAAATAAATATTTACATTCGTGATTCGTTCACGAAAGACATAACAGATATTAGGCAATAATATATTATTATTTTCCATCGAGAAAACCTTACCAAGCTGTGAAGATAGATTTTGTTTGTATTTTCCTTTTAATTTATAATACAAAATTTTAAAACATATATAACAATACCATATAAACATTCTAAATGTATTATTTTGTTGACGAATAATCAGCACATGACCTATAATCGTGTTAAGATCATTCTAATGATACAATATGTGCATACTATTTTATGTTTCACATATATAACTCATACATGTATGAATTAAATGTTCCCTAGATTCAAATTATATAGAACAAATCTGATATGTTTTTTTTATAGTTTATGAATTTTTTTTTGATATGCTATCTTAGTTTTCTTTTTTACGGTCTCAATGTATTTGATAATGTGCTGGTTTTACAAAATAAATCTAATGACGTAGAAAAAAATTTATTCAGTATTTAACAATGACTTGTCCAAAATGTTGTTAATTGAACAGATAATAACATAAAGACAAGTTTGTATTTTTTTTACTATATTATAGATAATGACTAGATCCTAAAAGAATTGTCAGTGAATTTACACGGATAGTCAACGTCAATAAAATGTCTCTCCGCTCCACACCCCTTTCTCATCGTGTATTTGTACAGGGTCGTAGAATGTTCCTGCAAAGTGTTTGCACATCTTAATGATTCCTGCAAATAAAAAGCAAAATAGATATGTATAATTTTATATAATTATGTTATTATTTTTTCTAAGTTATTTATTTACATATCATTTAAAATGTAGAGCCTTCTTTTAACATATAAGTTTACAATTATTGAGTAATAAATAAATAAAAAAATGAATGAATGAATGAATAAATAAATAAATAAATAAATAAATAAATTTAAACTTACATTTTTATTTTTTGTAATACATAAATTTATTGTCTCCTTTTTAATCAGACTAAATTTTATTTATAGTAATAAACGAAAGTAAAATTAAATTTATCATATATTTATATTATTTGTCTATATCTTTTTACATTTTCACTCAGTCGCGACTCTTTGTTATTTCTTGTCCTTTTTCTAATGTACTGTCAATAATTATTATGTTCTCAAATTATGTAATATTTCGAACGTTTTTTTTCCACGAAAAGCCGCCTTATTTACAGTAAATAATCACGTGTCCTTGATGCATTTTATGCTTTCGGTTCTGTTAATTTTTCATAATTTTATTGTGCTATTCAACCTTGTATTTGTATTGTATGTTTGTGAAAAATGTTTGAAATAAAATATGTTTATACTGATTGTCTGAGAGTCCTTGTAAAGTCATTGGTAATATATTTATGAAAACGCATGAATCATCACATAGGTACACGTATATCAGAAATCTTGAAAAAACGTAATAATACATCAAACATGAAAGTCATGTTCATTTACAATTCCTTTGTGGGACAAAATCAATTATTTCCAATAAGTTACCGTAAGACAGATATGTATCTGTTGTTCTGGATTGTTTTCTATCAATATGTCTATCCATTTCTGATTCTGTTGCCTATTCTTTTTGACAGCTGATCAAAAGGTTAACAGTGTCTGATATTAACTCAGATGAAAAATTAAGGCAATGCATTGTACGAATGTAACATATCAGAATAAAATTATATAACTGATTAAGCAATCACTACCATCACACAAACATCTCGTAAAAAAAGAGAAAATATGTCTGTACATTTTGTAAATGATATTACTATATAATACACTTTACATCTATAACTAATAATGATAAAGTAGATAATTATAATGATATTATGGAATGCTATATTGGTATGTGCTGTATCTGGTATCACAAGCCTCTTGCATTGCCCAAATTTCTAAACATATTGCTCCAAAATGTATTATAATAAACATATATAGTTAAGTTGTATTACAGGGTATATAATTATAAATGGAAAACACCAATTAGTCATGTTTATTATATATTGAAAAAAAAATCATGAAATTAAATGCGTATTTTTATATATTTCCGTATTTGTACTGTAAAAAAAATTAACTACTGCAGTGTAACATATTTTCCGTATTTTTAAATGGCGTCTTGCCGGACTACTTTCTTCTAATTTCAGCCAATACACAACCTTATTAGGACATTCGTCCTATTCATAAGTTAAAAGAAAAGAAAAGTATATAATAAACAAAACATTCTAGTTTGTTTTCTATAAATACAGGATTTATATTCATCTTGTTATATGAAAATTATCATGTTTCACTCATATGCTGACACCCATAAAATATTTATTTTCATACCACTCGATGAAAATAAATCCTTAATTTATAGAAGAAACTTGAATATCCTCTATATATGTAATATAAACATAATTGCTTGGGAGATGCATGTAAAGCAAATATAGCTGTAGCATGTACATCTTTCCTGTTCATCATTTACTTTGTAATTTTATATGTAGTAATGCTTTTAAAAAATTCAACTCATACAATCTTGATCTTTTGTGCAACAATTTGCATTACCATATATGTTTGTAATTTATTTTGTATTATGCATATCAATTTCACATTCAACACATCGAATGTTTTTATAGCAAGCATTATTTATACATTCTGAATTCTCGTATGTACATAAAAATCGTCATACAATGCCAGACATATAAATTCGCAGGAAACTAAACAAAAATATGTTATATTAGTTTGTATGATAACTCCATTTATTATATCAAACGTTTGTTTTTCAACCAATCGTCATTTATTCGTAATGTTCACATATTGAATTGTGGCACTTTAATTAACCTGCATTTGCTTAATGGATGGGTAAATTACGCATAGCCCTTTTCGCGTACAAATGCTGGTGGCCTAGTGGCTAAGGTGTCGGCGTCTAAACCCAGGAATCATGGGTTTGAGCCCTCCCCGGATCATGTTTCCTCATATGACACCAGTACTGGTTACTTTCAGGAAACGGACTCGACATTAATCATAAATATAAGTTAAAGAACTTGTCTTGTAATCGAGCTAAAATAGATATGTTCAAACTAAAGTTGTTGCAATAACACTTAGAGAAATGTAATGACACTCCCTGAACTACCGTTATGTCGTAAGGTTATTGTTGTTAACATTGATCACGGTGGTTACAAAACAGCCTTTGTACGGTCAAAGTTGCGTTACCTTGCTTCTTTACGAGTAAGCGCCGGTTTTTATCGGAAAATAAACATACTTAAATGATGGACGAGGAGCAGAAAACCGATGGAAAAAAATCTCACAGATAAATGCTTTGTTTCACGGAACATTATAATTATTCATGTTTAATGTTTTCATTTGTTCCGTTGATATAGATCTGCATTTAATCAACAATAAAGAAAACAAAATAAAGGTGTGAGTCCTCAGTGTATTCTGTCTGTAAAATACAACGTTATTTTTATGATAATGTAATGGTAATGATTAACTTTCAGTTTGCTGTGGCTACAAATCATCAGCCTGTAACGTTTCATGATAAATTTAAAGTTTAAACATTATGCTCATTTTTTCATCTTCATGATGAGCTAAATTAAATATATACATCAAGCCATTGACTGTAATAATGGTGATTGAAAAAACAGTTGATATTGGAAAATGTTGAGAATAAAAAATAAAGCTGTTTAAAATATAAACACAACCTGTCCCTCTTTTTTTGAAAATTGAACAGAACAGGTAATTTCCAATGGAGATGTTAAGAAATGTCTTTGGACTATGTTAATAATTTATCGTTTATTTGTAATAAATTATAAAATTGAAAAGAATAATGGCATCATGTAAACTTATTATGACTTTCACCAGTTCACATACTATATACTCTTGGATGGGCATAATGTCACTTTAAAAACACAGTTATAAGAAATTATGCCGTTAAAAGGAGCGAAATGACTGCGGTTAACATATTAATAGAGTTTGTTTAGCAAACTCCGAGATACAAAAAGGCACCGTATTATAAAGATAATACACTCGTTTATTTTGGATGCCTATAAATGTGTGTTTCTTGTCTATTAAAGATTCAAACTATGCTTACATAATGCCTAAGACATAATCTTCAATGTTTTATGAAGAAATGAAGTTTTATGTTGGACGACTGAAAACCCCACACTAGTAAATCAATACCAAAACCCTTATAACCTCGAGTTCAAAAGGTTCGTATTAAAACAATATACATGTAGCTCCACCCAAGCCTCGTTTTTATTTTTGAGAGTCAAAAATACATATCACATCCTTTTTACTATTGAAGTAACACACATTGGAAATGTGAAACAAAGAGGTCATTAAATGTGGTTGAAAACAATACTGATTCTACTGGACTCGTATAGAGCTGTAAAACCTCATTCAGACTCGACTAAATACTCGTCCAATATAGGTTTGACATCTGTGTACACAGCATTCAGTATAGGACTCAATTATAACAAACGTATAGTATAAAAACAACAATGGTAAAAACAGCTGCAGAAATATTGGTTATAATAACACAGTATAATAAAAATGTCGTCAAAGTAAACATATCATAATTATATTGAAAAATCTTTGAAACGTACAAGGGTTTCGTTCTGTCTTCGGAAATGTTCATATCTTAGACAAAGAGAAAACACGCCATTCATTTCTTTTACATATTGATTAACCGACATCAGTAACAGTTAAGAATTCATTTTTATGCAAAATGACTGAAATGATCAAATAAACGTTAGCAAAATGTAATAAATAATAAAAGTACAGCATAAGTTTGGAGTAACAATAGTTTTTAAAAATCATAATTATACTGCTATAGCAGTATTGAAAGAACAGAAAGTGACCACGTTACATTGATTTTTTATAAAATGAAATGCCTCAATGTAACCACAATTTTACATATAAATTATATAAAATATGGGTCATCGACTTATTGCATTCTATAAATATTAATGTACTTTTGTGTATGGAACGAACGCAGTGTATATATTGAATATATTTTTATTATATTTAATATGCAATGGTTTATCGCACATTCCGAAATCTACAGAAAATCTCGGTGAGAGCTTTTAATAGACACGTATTCAGCAGAGAGACAGAAGACAAATTCAATTTCCACACACAATCAGCAAACGCATGTTACATTGATATTATTCTGATTTATATACAAATGTTGCATGACAGGTTTGATCAATCTTTTTACAGTGCAACACAAGACAGTTACCCTGCATATTTTTCCTCACTGAATATAGCTCTGTTATTGACATAGTTATATTAGACTATGAATTTTGCTAAATATGACGCACATTGATGGCATTTGAAAATCAATATCAGATATTTTGATTCATGGATTCATTTTCTATGATATTGAGATACTGGTCGTTTTGTTTCATCGTCGGAATCTACTGGTACTGATTTCGCTGAACTACATTCATGACGTGCAAATTACGTGTATACGAGGGATGATAAAAAAACTGGATTTTGTAAATGACTCTTTACCTGATAAATAAATTTAAATAAAAATACACGGACAATAAATCGGAATCTTTCTCCTAAATGATACAAAAAATACCAACAAAAATATTGACAAATAGTATAACTAGTATAACTAACAAATATACGTTAACGACGTCACAAGCGTATTGTCCTTAACGAAGCAGCTTCTTAATCATTCACGGAGTAGGCCAATACGTGGTACACATGTTATCCACTGCCTATAAATATTTGTATATCTGTACAAGTCGGTTTCATATTGTATTATAATAGAATGGATGATGATAAAGAGCTCCTGTAATTACGCAAACTCCCGTTCGTTCCTTCTGTAACT